GATGGATGGATCAGTAGGTGGATGGATGGATGGATGGATGGATCAGTAGGTGGATGGATGGATGGATGGATCAATAGGTGGATGGATGGATGGATGGATGGATGGATGGATGGATGGATGGATCAATAGATGGATGGATGGATGGTTGGATGGATGGATGGATGGACAAGTGGATGAGTGGATAGGTGTATGGATGGGTGGGTGGATGGACTGGTGGATGGGTGGATGAATTGGTATGTGGGTGGGTGGATGGGTGGATGGATGAATGGACAGATGGGTGAATGGATGAGTGGACGGGTAGATGGGACAAAAGCCTAGTAGAGGCTGGGGCTGGAGCTCAGGGAAACTACTCATCTCCTCTCCTGCTGCTCAGGGTTGAGAGACTGTGGTCCCGTCAGGGATCAGTGAGTCAGTCCCTGAGCTCCCCAGGCAAGGAGAGGGCAGACTAAAGAACAAGATCTGACAGAGGATTAAGGTGACAGGAGCCAGCGGGCAAGGGGTGAAGGGTCGGGGCAGAGTAGCCAGAATGAAGGTCTGTGAAAGCAGAGAAAGCTGTTTCTCAGGTGGAGGAGAAACGGTGGGGGGGCAGCAAAACCAAAGTTGGCAGTGGAGGGAAAAACTTGATCAAAGGAAAAGCAATTAGGGCAGTGCGCTCCCTGAGTCCCTGTCAGCATGTGACTCCCAGAGCCCTTCCTCTCCATCAGCCAGCTCAGTCTCACTGCATCCCGCATCCTGGCAGCCGCTTTGTTCCTAGCCTTCTATTAGCTGTGCCCGGGGAAGGAAGACGTTGATGCAGAGGCACCCCTCCCCAGCCAGGACCCTGCTCCCCATCCCCAGCAGGAGGACCTTCAAGGGCCGGGTGGCCCCTCTGAGTGTCACCTCCCTCACCTGTAAAACAGGGGCAGCAAGGATGCCACCTGGAGGGGAGGTCATGAAGAGGAAGCTAGAGCAGGTGTGAGAGGGTCTGGTACCCAGGCGGGGCCGCCACCTTCCCTTCCGCCCTCTTCCCGCCCCAGATGGACTACAAGGTGCCCAATGAGTCGAGGGGCAGGCGGAGCTGTGTTTCTCCGTCGTGCCTGCTCAGAAGTCAGCCGGTGGCATCTTGGACCAGTGCTGGGCCTGCCCCCAGAGATGGGTCTCCTGGAGGTGGGGTCCCCGGGACATGTTGGCGTGCAGCCGGAGCGGAGCAGCTCGGATCTAAGTGGATGCATGGCAGTTAGGCGGGGACTCGGACAGAGCCCCCAGAACTGGTCACAGTGGGCAATGCTGTTGGGGAGGGCAACCCCGTGGCCAGGGGCCCGAGGGGGCCCGAGGGGGTGGTGTGGGAAGGCGGAGGACGTTCCTCTCATACCCCTGGGCGCTATGGGTTCTGTTCCATGGGCCCACATTATCTATCGAAAGAGAGAATACTAAGAAGCAAATGGAATTAAACCGAGCGCCACCCTCCCCCGAGACTGGCAGGAAGTCCTTAGTGACACAGCATCTTCCGCTTCTCCTGCCCGTGGATTCCACAAGGACAAGGTCACCGGGCCCCCGGGACACGGAGGTGGCTCCGGCCACTAGACAACTTCCGTGGGCTGAATTGTGTCCCCCCCAGAATTCCTCTGTTGAAGTCCTAACCCCAGCACCTTGGAAATGTGATTGTATTTGGAGATGGGGCCTTGAGAGAAGAAAGTCGGGTGAAAATGAGGTCTTTGGCCGGGGGGAGAGGGCCTGGTCCAATAGGATGGGTGTCCCTCTAAGAAGAGGGGATGTGGCCACAGACAGGCACAGGCTCCCGCACAGAGAGAAGGCCACGTGAGGACACAGGGAGAAAACAGCCCTCTACCAGCCGGGAGATGGGCCTCCGAATAAGCCCACCCCGCCCACATCTTGATTTCAGACCTCCAGCCTCCAGAGCTGAGAGCCGAGGCATCTCTAACCAGGGAGCCGTCCAGCCTGTGATGCTTCATTAGGGCGCCCGGCGGACGACCACGGAGGCCCCCTCCACCAGCACCTTCCATCCCCGCCACCAAATATGGCCACGCAAGCACCAGCTCTGGCCCAGACAGCCCCCAGCCCTGGCCTCCGCCTTCCCAGCCCCTCACCCTTGGTGGTGCCCCAGGCCTGAAGGGAACCACAGCCCCTCTGACCCTCTGCCTGTCCTGGAGGGGGGCCTCCCCTTAACCCTGAAAGCATCAGGCCCCCCACAGCCCCCACACCCCCACTGGCCTAGACCTTCGGGGCAGCCGCCTTCTGTGACAACCTCGCTTTGTCAGCCCCGGAGAGCAAAGAAGCTGCCACGCTGCCTTCAAAATACAAAGGCCAAGGGGCGCCTGGGGGGCTCAGGCGTTAAGCATCTCCCTTTGGGTTCAGGTCATGATCCCAGGGTCCTGGGTTTGAATCTTGCATCGGGCTCCTTGCTCAGCGGGGAGCCTGCTTCTCCCTCTCCCTCTGCCCCTCCCCCTGCTCATGCGTGCGTGCGCGCTCTCTCTCTCTCAAAATAAATAAATAAAATCTTAAAAAAAAAAAAAATACAAAGGCCTGGCCAGTACCCTTCCTTCCATCCTAAGGCATCCGCAAGGGTTACACACCCTGCAAGCATCTTCCTCAGCCTTCTTGCCCTTCCTCTCCTCCCCCCCCCTTACCTCCTGTAGCCTCAGGACTCTTGCAACTGGCAGGACCTCACTCTAACCTCATTAAGAGAATTGGTTGACCCCTGGGACTAAAAGGCCCCTAAACTTCAGGTGTCAGCACTCTGGGGGCTGAGAGTCGGAAGGAGCCCCGCTGAGGGCGAGGGCTGCTGAGACCATGACTGAGGGAGCTTGGGAGTGGCGGTAAGGAGCACCCCCACCCCAGCGCCCACACTCAGTGACTCTCTGGGCGCAGAGAGCACAATGCAGATGTCAAGGCACCTGAAGACGCCTGTGCTAACGTGAGCAGGGGGACTGTCACTGAGCAGGGAAGGAGCAGAGTAGCTGCCGCAGTGCTTGCAGGACTGTGCCCACAAGCCCCTGCCCAGAAGGACTCTCATGCCCACGGTCTCTGTTTCCAGAAGGAAACGGAGCTTTGGACAAGTAAAGCTCAGCCTGCCCCATGCGCACAGCTAGGAAGGAGCCGAACGGTGCATCCAACCTGCAAAGCCCTTGCTCTGTCCCTTTGCAGCACAAGGCCTCCGTGTCCTCCAGCGGTCCCCTCCTCTAACCCCTCTTGGCTTCTTGGTTTCCCGCCCCCTCACCTAGGTGGCCTCCTGTCCCCACCTCCCTCCACGTTGCTCCAACCTTGACCCATCTGCAGAGGCGCTTCTCCCACCAAAAGCTTGCATTGTGTTTCTGTTCTGACCTTGCTCTCAAGAACCTGCCATGGCTCCCCATTACTTCTAAGAATCGACTCAGAAATCCCCATGGGGGCACCTGGGTGGCTCAGATGGTTAAGCGTCTGCCTTCGGCTCAGGTCATGATCCCAGGGTCCTGGAATCGAGCCCCACATCGGACTCCGGGCTCAGCGAGGAGCCTGCTTCTCCCTCTGCCTCTCTCCCTGCTCATGCTTTCTCTCTCTCTCTCTCTCTCTATCTCTGTGTCTCAAATGAATAATTTTAAAAAAATCTTTAAAAAAAAAAAAGAAAGAAATCCCCAGCCAGGCGCAAAATGCCTCTCAAGCATCCGGCTCTTCTCGCCTGTGGTATCTGATCTCTCCTTCCTCCCCTCACAGACCCGCAGCTCCAGATGGGCGGATCGGCCATCCCCTCCTCTGAGAAACCTTCTCAGTGGCTCTCTCCGTACGACAGGCCAAATGACGGCTCCCCAGAGAAGTCCTAACCCCTGGAACCAGCAAATATACATTGCTCCATGACAAAGGGAAATTAAGGTTGCTCATCAGCTGACTTTAAAATAGGGAGACTATCCTGGATTATCTGGGGGGGCCCAGCGTACTCACAGGGAAGAAGGAGGCCAAAAAGGTCTTGACTGCTCTGCTGGTTCTTCAGACAGGAGGGGCCGGGAGCCAAGGAAGGCAGGAGGCTGCAAAGGGCAGGAAAACAGACTGTCCTCAGAGCCTCAGAGGGAACACGGGACCAGCCCTGCCCCACAACATCCGCAGGAGACTTGTGATCTGCAGAATCGTACATCCATAAATGTGTATTGCTGAAGCCACTAAGTGAGTGGTGATATGTTACGGCAGTCATAGGAAAGTAACACACCCAGACAGAGAAAACCACACCAGGGGCCAAAATCACCCGGTTCCTGGGCCCTTCCGTGAGCCTGAACGTCCTCCCCCCACAACAAAAGTAGAAGCCAGCCTCACAGGCTTGTCATGGGGGCCGAGGGACGCTGGTCACAGTGTGAGTCCCCTGCCTCTCGCCACCAGGGAGGGAGCATGATCATCAGTCTGAACACTGATAGTAGTCCTCTTCCCACGTTTCATCTTCTCCAGATGAAATATTCCAACTGCCATCTGGATTCCGCGTGTTCCTAATCATTTCATAAGTAGGGTCCGGCTCCACACACAAGTAGTCAGCAGCATCCCGGGGATGGGGCTGTCTTCATCACGGCCCTTTAAAAAAAAAAGCATTCTTTTCATTGGCCACAATAGTGACGGTTATCCCAGGAGCTGGGAGGCTGCCCGATTCATGAATCGCTTGGTAAAGCCAATTGGACCTTCAAATTAAGAAAAAAATGGCTCTGATTATTCCAGAGCCCCAGTGGTTCTCCAGCAGGGTTGATTTTGTCCCCAAGGGACATCTGTCAAGATCTGGAGACATTTTTGGTTATCGTAACTGGAAGGAGCTACTGGCCCCTAGCGGGTAGAGGCCAGGGATGCTGCCGAATGCGCTACCATGCACGGGATGGTAGCCCCACGACAGAGAATTATCCCACCTCAAATGCCAGTAGGGCTGAGCCTGAGAAAGCCCGTCACTCAGATGCTCCCCACGTCCTAGGCCAGTTCTAGATATTTAGTATCAGGAGCTCTCAACCTTGCAATGACTTTGCAAGGTAACATTAACATCCAGAAGACAAAATCCAGGCTCAGAAAGGTTAGGGAACTTGTCCTAAATCACACAGCTTGAAAGGCCTTGCCAGGACTCCTGGGGCGCCTGGGTGGCTCAGTCGTTAAGCGTCTGCCTTCGGCTCAGGTCATGATCCCAGGGTCCTGGGATGGAGTCCACATCGGGCTCCCTGCTCTGCAGGAAACCTGCTTCTCCCTCTTCTACTCCCCCTGCTTGTGTTCCCTCTCTCACTGTGTCTCTCTCTGTCAAATAAATAAATAAAATCTTTAAAAAAAAAAAGAAAGGCCTTGCCAGGACTCCTCATGAGACTCCCCTGGGTGCTCTCAGAGCCAGGGAGGGCCCTTCTGACGTGTCTGCCTCCCGCAGATTATGGGGGGAGGCTATGTGGGGGCACGCGCCACTGGGCTCAGCACCTACAGGAACCTAAGGGAACCCCTTGCAGATGAAGGCCCTGGCACCAGGCTTTCCCCATCAGATCAGAGCTCACACCTTGCCAATGGGTGCCCTCCACTTTAAGGACAAAAATATTGCATAGAAAAGTTTGGCTTTTCAAAGATATCACCAAAAAAGCACTCCATATTTTATAAAGCCTGTCATTCAGCTAGGGGGTTCGTCAGTGAGTCAAGTTTTACTGAGCTCCATGTCCCAGTCTCTGAACATGCTTTCACGGCCCTTTGGACTCTGTGGTCCACCCCCTCGAGGAGGCAGATACCAGCACACACGATGCTTGCAAGTGTGGGCTCTGCAGTCAGACGACCTGAGCTTGAAACTCGGCCCTCCTAACCCACTCGTTGTGAGTCCTGGGCAATGTAACCTCCTAGGGCCTCAGATCCCTCTGCCATGCAATGGGGGCCATCACGGTCTCCCCTTGGGGTCATTGTGAGTTAGATTTGTGCGGTGCCTGATGCATATAAAGGCCATAAATGTTAGCTCCAGCCTCATGACCTGTGACCAGGAGCAGGGACCAGTCAGCATGGACGTGGGACCCTCCTCGCCTTCCCCCACCCACCCCGGGTTCCCTGAGGGGTCCAGTCAGCTTCCCTGCCCTCCCTGGTATGAGAAGAATCATGAAG